GATTCAGTCATTATATAACGCCATCGCTCCACCCCACCTTGATACATCTGCAGCTGTTGCAATGTACCGTCTTCATTTGGATAATCTTACATTTGTCTCTTAACTTTATGCGTGTTCGGAATTTTTTCCTTGTCTGCTGGTTTTATTGTTTGTGCTGGTGCACCAAGGAGAAGACCGATGTGGTAGTTTTGATGGCACCCAAAATAAAAAAGGATTATTATTATTGTTATTATTATTATTATTACTCTTGATGTGACAAAGAGTGTAGCTTGAAAACACATTCATGTGCCTCCTATATCTTTGCTGGTGCTTCCTCTTTTTTTTTTTGGCGTGAGAGTCACATGCGCAATCTGGGCTGTTAACAAAGTTGGATAACCTGTGTTGTACACGCTCCTCTCCACAAGTCACAAATACACTTACTCGCTACTCCATTAAAAAGTAACCGAAAATACGCGTTTCTCCTACCTTCTTTCCAAAAAGTAATAAAGTCGGCATTACTGAAAAGAGTCAACAAAGAATTCATGCGTTACTAGTAACGTCTTGCGTAAAAGTCTGGGCCACCGCCATCAAATTGAGTCCAACGCTGCCGACGTGCACGACACACCGCTGCAACCTGAAGACGGCCAGGCTCAGGGCTGGTTAAAACACTTCTGTCCGAGTGTGGCCACTAACGACCGGCAGTGTGTCCAAGTGGTGCCACAAACGACCGGCAGTGTGTCCGAGTGTGGCCACTAACGATCGGCAGTGTGTCGGACTGTGGCCACTAACGACCGGCAGTGTGTCCAAGTGGTGCCACTAACGACCGGCAGTGAGTCCAAGTGGTGCCACTAACGACCGGCAGTGTGTCCGAGTGTGGCCACTAACGACCGGCAGTGTGTCCGAGTGTGGCCACTAATGACCGGCAGTGTGTCCGAGTGTGGCCACTAACGACCTGCAGGGGCTTGAACGGCTGGTTAGCAAGAAAATCCAGCAAGCCACCACGCAGCTCCCGACCAGAATGAACTACAAATTCGCGAAGATTATGTATTATCTTTAATAAGCTATAGACGAACCTACATGTCGCTAATCTACGGATCCGCAATGACCCCGCGAGCCACGTGTACACTGTGGAACTACACAAGTTACATGGAAGGAAAATCTACGGCCCGCGAACAGATCAAATATACCAAGCCAATCGCTATTTTACTCCAAGAAACACGCGGCGAATGCTCCCTCGCTGGCTACAAAACGTTCTAGAAACCCAGGATAACACATCAATGTAAAAGCCAACAGCAGCCACTGGCAATAAGACAAGCGGCACTGCCCATCAGAAATTATTGAGTAGCTGTGGAGGCCGACACCCAGCACCTGTGCAAGAATGACAAGGAAATTATAGCAGCGGACGTCCGACCTCTTGGCCAACAGCCGCTAGTCGTGGCATCGGTATACTATAGATCTTCCACGGGAAGCAGCACAAAAGACGATTGTTCATGGCTAACAGGCACTGAGAAATATGCAGCTGATCTTCTACTTCCTATAGGGGGGAGGGGGGAGGGACTTTCACGCCAGACATCGAAACTTGGGATGCCCTACCGACGATACCCGAAGTAAGGCGCTTGCAGAGACGATCGACTTCAACGAACTCGGTATCGTCAACACGGCCTCGACCCACACACGGCTAGGTCTCCATTACGAACAAAGTAACACCTAATTGGACTTAACGATAACCACGACAGGAATAGTTCGTCACTGGGAGACACACGGGACTACATGGGGCAGTCATCACTTCCCTATATTATCACACTAAGTCGCAATAAACTTCGAATAAAAACTGACAGAACGGATGCAATCGGGGAAACAAGGCAGCCATCCAGGGAGGAAATAAGCTGTGACGATGACACCGGACCTATAGACTGCCAGCTTGCCCAACACTGGAAACAGGTGGAAGACCTCACGAAGCTATATTGCTATGGGGGAAGGCGGCACAAAGATCGCGCTCCCCTCAAACATCTCTTTCAGCCCCTTCAACACCAGCAACAACTACGAGGTATTGTCATTGAGGGTTAACAAAAATATTGTGTCTGTCGTTTACCGCCCACCCGGTGGTAATAACCTGAATTTTTTTTAAATTTCTGGAGGAACTCTTTGAGTTTATAAGAACAAATAGGTATAGTATCATTTTGAGCGGGGATTTTAGTATCAACATGTTAACTGAAAGTTCTTCGGGAAGACAACTGGAACTTTTAATTCAAGCATTGATTATTAAAGTGTAATTAATACTCCAACACGAATCACTGAGAGGTCTGAATCATTAATAGACCTATTTGTAACAATCTTTGATTTATCTGTCGTAAAATTTGGTGTAGTCATTTGTAATATCAGTGATCACCTTGCCATACTTATATGCATTCATAAATGCGTGTCAAAACAAGCACCGCAAAGGGGAGCTAGGTTTCAGCTTATAACGAGTGATCGCTTAGACAGATTTCATGCTGAGTTAAACAACACTGACTGGAATAAAGTAACCAGTGAAACCAGCCCAGAGAAACCTTTTGATATATTCATCGATAAGTTTAGACCACTGTACGAAAAATATTTTCCTTACGAATCTATTAGAGGCCAAAAAAAATCTCGAACACCTTGGATGACCACAGAGTTACTTGGAAAAATTAGAATAAAAAATTCCCTTTATAAAAAATTTGTAAAGACAAGGAACCCAGATAAGCTAAGGACTTTTAAATCATATAGCCACAACCTGAATAACGAGATTAAGAATGCTAAAAAACGCTATTATTTTAATTTATTTAATAAGTGGACTGACCGTACATATAAAATGTGGAGATAGCTTAATTCGGTACTAAATCCACAGCGCTCGACTAACGCCATTGAGAAGCTCTATGTGAACGGAATGGGGTTATCTGGTCGAACTCTTGCAAATGCTTTCAACAAGTTTTTTGTTACTTTAGTGGATAATCGCCACGACACCAACATCTATAGATGCATTGCAAATAAAAATGAAAACACAGTCTACCTGAATCCGGTTATCCAGGCCGAAGTAATATCCGTATTTTTTAAAGCAAACAACATCAGCAGCTGTGATAATGAAGGAATTCAAATTAGGCCAGTTAAGCATGCTATTAAAGTAATTAGCCCTTGCCTAGTTCATATCATCAACCTTTGTTTATAAACTGCGATTTTCCCCCCGAGGATGCAGATTGCTAAGTGACAGTTCTATATAAACAAAGGCAACAAACACGAGCTCGGAAATTATAGACCGATTTTTATACTTTCAGTGTTTTCAAAGGGCCTTGAAAGCATTCTACATGATCGTCTTGTAAGCTTTTCATGAAAAATAACATTTTAACTGCATCACAATATGGGTTCCGAAAAATCGTTCCACGGAGTTAGCTTTACTCGACCAAAAAGAGTCCATACTGGGCCACTTTAAAAAGAAAAATATTCTCCTCGGTGTTTATGTAGATTTTACCAAAAGCATTGGATTACCTAAACCATAAACTACTCTTTCAAAATCTCGAGACATATGGTATCAGAGGACAGGCTTTAACATTACTAAAGAGCTAATTGTGCCACCGGAAGCAGTACGTCCCCATTAACGGTTATTCGTCAGATGTAAAGAATTTAACTTCAGGTGTGTCTCAAGGACGCATTTTAGGACCGTTTTTGTTTAATATATATATCAATGATTTAGTCAATATAAACAAGCAGGCAATTTTTTTATCTATGCTGACGACACCAGTGTCTTTGTATCTGCTCGGACTGGGGATGAAATATCTGATATTGCGAATAACGTACTAGCAGAGCTAGAATCATGGGCAAACGCAAACTTGCTAAAAATCAACACAGCTAAGACAAAGGCTATTTGCTTTAAACCTAAAAACAAATTTGTTGAAATTCCGACCAATATCATAATGTATACTCTTCACCGATTGAGGTTGTTAGATTATTTAAAACACTAGGGGTGTATTTTTCCGAACACACGTCTTGGGACGCTCACGCTGACCACATCACATCAAAACTAAGTCACGTGGTAGGTTTAATGTATCGGCATTCTTATATTATGCCATTCAGTGTTAAACTACTTCTGTACCAGTCAATATTTTTTGTTCCAATCTAAACTATTGTTATTTGATTTGGGGGACGACCACAGGATTGACGGTTCATAAAATACATCTCTTGCAAAAAAAAAAAGCTCTAAGAATAATTTGGAATGTCGGCTATGACTTTCACACAGAATCCTTTTTTCGCAATCTGAATGTCATGAAAATCTTCGCACTGTACAACTTTAAGTGATGCATGAAATATAAAACAGAATGCAGTAAAAATAGAGACTGTTTCATTTCTCTAGCGTCACTGAAGAAAAAAAGCTCAATTTATCAACTCGTAGTTCTGAATCCTGGTTCATTGAAAACTCCCGGTCCAACTATGGTCTTCACAGAATCAAAATAACTCTCCCGAAGTTGCTAAATATGCTAACCCTAAAGCCCATATACCTAAATACTCTTTCACCCAAAGAATTACAGTCTTATTATTTGTGTTTATTTATTTATTTATATATTTGCGAGTGATATGGTTACACTTGAGTTGCATTTGTATTGTCCTTGCTTTGTTGCTTTTTTTTGTTTTTAAATTCACTGTTTTCTGGACTAGCTAATATTGTATAACTTTTCTTTTTTTTTTCTTCTTCCTTTTAATATGTATACCCTGTGTGTGAACTCGCATTGCCGCTGCTGCTGAAAGTTTTGTGGTGCTGGGAACTCGTCAGGCTGTCCATGAAGCTTTTTTCCCAGCCCCCGCCATTGTAAAAAAAATGGTAAATAAACATTGAATTGAATTGAATTGAAATGATTAAGCGGGAACGAAACATCAAAATGTAGTGAAGAATGTCGTATACAAGGAGGCGCTTTTTGAACCTGAATATTTGTCATGGCGTAATATGATGTGAAAACACCTTATTTGTTTGCTTGTTTTCAGTCGTCTCAAGAATGGCTGCCTGCAACAGCATGACTACACTCCTTCTATTTGCCATTCTGCCATTGGTGAGTAAAGGGCTCCAGAAAGCGAAACGGTAAAGGCTCTTATTTAGTCATTCGAAAGAATAAAACTTAAGCTTCCCCACGGATTTTCGAAGGTGCTAACTACAGTCTCAATACTTGTTTTCATTGGCCTCTTAGAAAAAACGATAAGCGTTTAAAAAAAAAAAGGGAACACTCTGCACGTTTTTTTTTTTTTTACGTGAAGAGTCCTTTTTTGTATAATCAGGGTGGCAAATAATTATAATAAGTTCCTTTTTTTTAGGGGGGGGGGGGAGGCAGGGGGGGGGGAGGTGAGAGATAAGCATGAAATTTATTTAAAAGGTTAAAAAGCGCAACACAACAAGGACAATAAAGACACAACGACGACAGGACGGGATAGCGCCCCTCCTGTCGTCTTTGTGTCTTTATTGTCCTTGTTGTGTTGCGCTTTTAACCTTTTAAATCAGTATGAACCAACTCGCCCAAACACAAGTTTTAATGAAATTTATGGCAACGTGCTAGGCAATTGGGTTGCATACGTGAAACGTCCTAGCATTACAAACATTTAGCGATCCCTGCCGGGAAACCTAGGTAAAACTTTTCGCTATCTGTATTATGGAACTGAAAATCTATCTGGATTCTATCTTGATCTCAAGTTCTCAGAAATTGTTATTTTTGCCTGTAATCTGGATTTCAGGTTTCAAGAAACAATTCCAGTTAGGTTTACAGTTCCACAATTCAGATAGTAAGAAGTTATACTGTTCGTTGTTCTTTTCTTGTTTCGTTGTTTTGTTGTTTTTTTTTCGGTAAGATATATTTTGAGTTTCTCGTAGGGCGGCCGATAAACCTGGTGATATTATAGAGCCTTCCATTCTCTCGAGATCCCCTCCCTCAGTGCACACAGGTGGTCGAGCTTCTCCTCAACTACCTCACTTCTCCTCGCCCACCCTTCTGGTCCCGTGACCTCCCCCGTTAACCAATCAGCCTCGAGCTTTGCATCCAAGCTTATCGGGCTTAGCTAATCGGGCACCACGAAATGCTGAGCGCCTAGCCAAGATACGTTTCACGTTAATATTTAAGCTTCGCGCGTCTCTAACACGAAATACACGCGACTTCCGAATTGGTTCTTTTACGTAGTCTCCAGAAATTTGCCAAATTCACGGAGACTCCACTCCTCCCACGATCCGATCCCTCAGGGACCATGGGTCAGGGTTGGGCAGAAATACTCAAAAATGTATTTGGAAATACAAATACTGGGATACATCAAAATAGTAGCTAAAATACTGATACTAAGATACATTAGTAAAGATGTATCGCGATACGTATCGGAAATACATTTTAAAAAGAGGCAAAAAGTATTTGGAAATACAAATACAGGAATACATCTTAGGGAGGGCAGAAATACAAATACAAAAATACTGATAGTGCAATACATTTTGCAAACTTTTTGAGACGCCAACTGAGACGATGTTTGAAGTGGATGTTTTCGATCCCGAAATTACTTTCCTGTCGGCCTGGCACTTTGCCGTGAAGCTAGTGGTTTCGGACGACAAGGAGTCTTCAATGGGCCCAAGAAAACGTTCCATCAAGGGCTGACCGCGGTCCCTTCCATGGCATCTTGTCTGTGTGATGAGGGAATCCTGTCAACATTGATCACAAGATGTCACGGTGGAATGAACTAATATTCTTTATCTGTAGGTGTGGCCTTGAACATGAAACTTTACCACGCTGCTGTATGAATGGACAATACGTACTTTCGTTGTAGGTTACGAGGTTGAAGATCGTGCATACAGTGTCATTTGGAATTTTTGAGAATAGTGGACCACCTGAAGCATCTTGGAATACATGTCTTATCTTCTGTTACGGTTGAAAAAACGATACTGTAGCATCCTTGTTCTGAAAGTCCTTACAACCGACCCTCCGCCACCGACGCACGGAATGCAGTCCTCAAGTTTTGCCTAGCATTATCCAAACAGAGACCTCGTGGATTGCGAGCTGATACTGCCGGCACAGGTGCGAGCTGTCCGAGAAAGAGCAGTCTCGAGACGAGTCGCGGGAATACGTAGTGTGGGATGGCACAGAGAGGCCACGTCTGGCCTCCTTCTGGGTTTCGGATCACCAGAGCAATGGGTCATGTTCACGTCGGCTGATGACGTACCCTTGAGCCGTGCAATGTTATGGGCGCAGCCGCAGATGCATTCGAATATGTGTTGAACTTCACAGCGTGAGTCTTCCTACTATTTCAAGTCAACCACCGCCACGCTCGTGCTGCAACGGAATGTGACTCAGCGTTGCCGGCTGGGTGTACTCTGTATGCTAAGGCGAGAGGGGCGGTTAGCAGCGAACACTGGATGCCAGCAAACAATGACTCAAGAAATCCCTACCTAAGGACCTGCGGCAGAAGATGCTCTGACTCCACTCCTGGCACGCCACCTGGTTCGAGTCCCCAACTACGCAACACTTCTCAAAAGAGAGAAGAGGACGCATAAAAAAATAGTTTGCAGAATCAAAAGTTAAGGCCTGTTCACACATGCAGCGGAGCGCTTCAAGCGTAGCGCTAACCTCGCGCTAAGCGCGTGCTGACGGCAGCGTTCACCAGCTTTGTATCGCACCGTCAAAACGGTGGCTCATGGCAGACGATAAGTAGCTGACGGCACGTGAGGAGCGCTACATCAGCGCTTCGCTGCATGTGAGAACCGGCCTTACCCCCCATTCACACTGGAAGCGGATCCGCGTTCGCGAAGCGGTTGCGAAAGCGGTTGTATAAAGATCCAGTGCAATTGCACGCGCATTTGATGTCATCGTGTGCGCGTGCAATTGTACTGAATCCTTATACAACCGCGTTCGCAACCGCTTTGTGAACGCGGATCCGCTTCCAGTGTGAATGAGCCCTTAACCCGCATAGAAACACTGCCCCCGCATCTCCTTGACCCTGGTGCCCTCAGAAGCAAAAAAAAAAGCGTTCGAACTTCTTTTTTTTTCGGTGCGGGGGGTGGGGGGGGGGGGGGGGGAGGGGGTGGGGAGTATTTCTCAAGAAATGTAACGAAATACATTTTATCCTGATTGTATCGCGATACAAAGAAACATTCCAAATGTATTTCGATACAGGAATACAGATACTGGTAAAAAAAATGTATCGCGATACAGAAATACAGATACGAAATGTATTTCTAAAATACTATCGCGATACATTTGTATCGCGATACTGCCCAACTCTGCCATAGGTCACCAGAGAATAGGAGGGCATACAAATTCACATTGAAAAGACAAGTTCATGTTCAGAAAGTTGAAGTCATAGCTTGCGATCATGTGGATGATCGTCGCAATGTTATTCTCGTAACTTTTAATTGAAAACGATAGCTTGCTGTTTGTTATGATACTCATAAAATAATAAAAGGCATCCCTGCAGTAAGACTATGGAATAAATATCTGCGAAATTGGACTTAGCTTTCAAAACATGATTTGGAAAGATAACAATGATGTGATTCACATTTGTCTTTTACCACATAGCTACTAAGCCAAGAACTTCGCCCGATCTACAACATCGCGCACATGGTGAACTCTAAAGAACAAGTCAGCGAGTTTATGGAAAAAGGGGCCAATGCAATTGAATTCGACGTGCAGTTTTATGACAACGGCACTGCGTACCGCACATATCATGGAATTCCATGCGACTGCTTCAGAATCTGCACTAAAAGCGCTGAAATCGAGGACTATTTTGATTACATTCGAAATCTTACGATTTCTGGTAAGGATAGTGTTTTTTGTTTATTGTATTTTCATTTGTTTGTGCAGTAAACAACGTTTAGCGTAACATGTGTCTAAAACATGCTGTTTCACTTCGGAAACCTTTGCTGTGTGGAGTTAAATATATACATTACTGATTATGGTACACGAAACGCCATTCCTTGAGATTCGTCATGAGAAAACTTGTAAAAACACCTTGCAGAAAAGTCATGCAATATTAATAGTAGTAACAATGTTATATTTTTATTTTATAAAAAGCAACGTTTGACATACAGTACACACATTTGGGCAAAGAACATAAATTGGCAAACGTTTTGTTTCTGTTCTCGCTAAATGTGTGTATCGTATAACCCACGCGGTAATACTGATTTTAATGTACAGTATGCCATCCACAAAATAATTGAATAACTTAAAAAAGAGGGGAAAATGTTCCTTCGTGCTGATAAGGACATGGGATTCTCAAAAAAGGCATATTTTGCAATATTACGGCTAAAAAGAGGTATCGCCTTACAATATATTAAGTTTTAAATAACCTGGCTGGAAATAAAAATTAAAAAGGGGCATGCTTTTTTTAACATTTTGGCCCTGTTGGGCTCATTTCATTCTATGTAGTTGAAATGAAATCGGGTATTGAAAGTGTTCTAGATAAAACTGCAAGGATTTTTTTTAATAATTTCTTAATTGCACTATTGCAATGCGATCTTTTTAAAGCACTGATTTATTCTTTTATAATTCAAAGTCAGAATATATATATAAAACATTCAGGTCCCGCCGCACCATTAATTTTATATTTAGGTTGCATATAAAATATTGCTTTCTCTCCAGCCAGAGTAGAGAGTAAGAGAGAGTATATATCGAACACACTTGTATAATATTTGCGTTAGTGCTGAGAAGCAGGTAGCAATGTGTGTTTAAGATTACCGTTCAAAACCAGGACAAAATTAACAGAACCTCATAATGTTTGGTCCCTAGCTCGAGAACGTCAAACCATCTTACCAGAAAAACGTTTCGATTCTTGTTTCACACATCTCTCAAAAGATTGGAAGAGATTTTATAATGACGGTCTGCGTGTCTTCATTATCTCTTGAAGAACTTCAAAATACGCAAAAGTTTACGATGGGCAAAAGAAATTGTTTGACACACCGAGCCAGCCCTGCACTAAAAGAACTAGACAAATAGCTATGACAAATACGTCTTTGGTTCAAACGGTTATTTAAAAGAGAAGCTCCACTTTTTTTTTTTTGCATAATTCACTAGCTTAGGCGAAACAAGTGTGCAACTATCACTAAAGTTTTCCGGGCCGTCTCCGGTTACGAATCATTTCAACTCATTGTGCACCACACATGGAAATAAAATAGGTTATTATTGCATGAACCAACCGTCAAAACATAATTTTTGTTTTACTTTTTAGGGGGCAAATATTACGGAAAGTTACTACTTCTCATGTTAGATCTAAAGTCTTCCGACGTATCAATCGACAACAAACTATCAGCCGGAGCAGATATTGCCAGCAAGCTGATGGATCATCTCTGGATAAATGGTATACGCTAATTTCTCTAATTCGCGTTCTAAGGTCCATCACATATACCTGCGACATATGCTGGAATCATAGTTCACTTTCTTCCAGGCAGCAAATCATAGGCATCAGACATTTTATTCATAGTAACCCTGACGCGCTACCTTTCTTCACTTATCAAGCATTGTCACTTTCTATTACCTTTTTTACGTTGTTTGTTTGCGTGTGTGTGCGTGTGGGAAAATGGGGGGGGGGGGGGGGAATGTATCTGCACTAAAAGGGCCGGTACCTTGAAAAATTGTTTAGGGTCATGTTGCTGAATCATAAGATGGTTTTCGCTCCATGTTAATAAATCAAAGTATGTAGACTTAAAAAAAAATTTAATTTTTTTGTGAAGCCAGAAAAACTAATTGTCATAACTGAATATTATGTTAATTAGCGCCAAAATAAAACTGCTTGGAGTTTGGCTAAAAGCGGGCCTGGCACTTAATCTGGTACTGACGTCACGCAAAAGCTGCATTGAGGAACGATTCATAATTTCCTGAACTCTCAATGTTCCTAGCTCCATTCTTAATGCTGTTTCACACACTTGCTACTTCTAACCATTGAGTGCGCTAAAACCTCTCGTAATTTCTTACGACGAGAGTATACACTGGCTCCCTCTATCATGTAGCCATAAAATACGTGTGATTTCCTACCTTTTTCGCGCATCATTATTTTTCACTGCTTCCTAAAACTTCCAACAATGGCATAAATGACCATTGCTCATGGATAACAAGTGCACTTAATCACGCAAGTACTAGAAAACCTTCGCTCTAGCAAAACGCACTTCCAGGTTCACCTCATAGGTGGTGCCAGCTTGCCCATGTGTTCTCTCGTCATAAGAGATCACAAGATCTCGGTCGTAAGCAAACGCAAGTGTGTGTACCGGCCTTTATATCACATTGAGTGACTTTGCGAGTCCTCTACGGATATAGACGCACTGGAATTTAAGCGGCTATTACTTTTAATCTCACAACGCTGTACCATTTGATCTAAAATCACACCACCACGATCTCGTTTTATTGCACGAGTGTTTTATTTGTATTTGTCTTCACAGTTCCATTCAATGAAGCGGTGAATATATATCTGTCTATCGGGCACGTGACTGACAAGGACGTATTGAGAGGAGCTGTACAAGCCATACAACAACGTGACGCCAAGTATCTTGACCGCATCGGTTAGTTTTTTTTGTTTTTTTTTATTGCATCGTTTTAATATATTACTATTGCCTGGCAAGACTTTTGCCCCGGAAAGAAATGTGGGACTGAAAAAATGGGGAGCATAATTTGTTGAGGCAAGAAGAAATAGCTTCGATTGGAAACAAACACTAGTAGGACACATAAATGTACTCTTATCATAGAAAGCGAGTTTTCATAACATGATTTATTAACGCGTCAACCATGACAGACAGCAAGTAATGAAGCAGAGCATTCAAGATGTGTTAACTTCACAATCACGTTATGCAAAGGTGATAGCCATAACTTTCCTTTATTATAAAAATGTAAGATGAGCGACCTAATAGTGGCACCAAGGCACCTTCATACATTGTGGGGTGGTACAACAATCAAAACACGCTTTTTGTTGTTGGGGTACATGATAATGCTAACGACGCTCATGATTCCAAAGGTATTTTAGATTTTTATTAAAAAAATAATAATATGAAAGTTATATGACGTTAACTTTTTCAACTCGATAAAGAAACAAGCTTGGCGTTGTTTAGTACGCGAGATGCTCATCACAGGTCCTTACTTGAGCACGCAAACTATAGACCGAATGTTGGGCTCTATAGAGCCCAGCAATTTTAGTCACCGCAGTGTTTCAGAGCGATGTCTAGTATCAATATTGGCAGAGGAACTAACCGTTCGCGAGCCGGAGCCCACCACTGACGCAGGGCTCGTGTCTGGTCCATGAGCCAGGATGTTTGTCCAGTAGAGATTTTTTTTTTTCTAAAATTGCTCTTGGCAACAATAAGCCGCTGCCTTGACGGCGCTCGAAAGTGCGGCTCGCCACTGTGATCGGGCAAGGCGCTGCCATTATGGCTGCACACGCCCGCAGTCGCGAGCACCACCGCCGCTGGTCCCGAGTCGTTATCGTGGACCAGGAGCTCGCATGCTTGACATTCCAAACTGTAGAAGAGTAGTAAGTTGGGCGAGTTAGTAAACGTTGAACATGGTTAAAATCGTGACAAATTTGTTCTAAGGTTCGTGAAAAGGCGGAAAAATTATCAAAAAACACGTGCCACAAAAATCATGTGCGGCCATTTGTTCCCTGTTCATCGGGCGTTGTATATAGCATTCCTCTTTCATGTGGACGATGCTATGTTGGACAGACGGGACGGTGTCTGAATGACCGGCTACGAGAGCATAAACTTTCTTTAACATCCAATGTAGGAGGTCACCTTTCGGTGCACTGTAAAACCTGTATGTGCACACCATCTTTAGAAAAAACATCAATCATTGGCCGCTTTAAAGAAAAACAAACACGCGAGGAACTCGAGGCGTTCACCATCTTGAGCCTGACCCACTGTAGCCTGACCGATCGCTGCGTTAGCCAGCCGTCGGTAGCTTTGAGCGAAAAAGAAGTTGCCTTCTTGCGATCATTTGACTGCGGATGATCTGTTTCCCTCTGGTGACGTTGTCCCCTGTAAAAAATAGTGCTTCATCTTTATCTTCTTCACTTAATATACTAGAGTTGTGAGCGCGCGCCTGTCTGTGTTCTGTGTTCCTTCCTCGTTTGTCCTCGTCTCTTTGTGCGCGATTTTAACCATGTTTGACATTCCAAATTGTTACACTACGGATGAAGCAAATGACAACTACGTCGTCCACAAGACGAGCAAAAAAAACCCAAGGCGCAGTTCAAGTTCGTGGCTGAAAGTGACGTTGAGGCACCTTCGGTCGGAACGGCGACTTTGTTTCCGCGGCTTCGTTCTTATGTCGGCGATTGAGTAGGTTGTCGATTGGGCTAAGGCCATGGCCTTAGCCCATTCTGGTATATAAAGTGACAGAGGGGGAGAGGGTTGGGGGGAGTGAGACCCGTGTGGCTCTGCTTCCCAGCTCACCCGCTGCGTATGCTGTTGTTTATTCGGGGAGACGCTCCTGGATAGACTCTGGCTGTGCTGCGCTGCGTGCCTCCGCCTGTGCTCCCTTCCGGTGCGCCGGCAACAGCCGCAGCAGCAGTAGCGGTAGATGCAGAGATAGGGGCAGACTGGTGTGTGGGAGGGTTTGCCTGCGGCTAAAAGCGCAAGAGGGGCGACCGGTCCGATGTCACGCCGCTCTGTGACCTCGGTTTCATCCGCCGCCTCTCGCTATCGGTGTTCTGGTCCGGCCTCCGACTCCTCCGCGCTCCCCGTCGCATCGTCTGATCACGGCGTCATTGCTGGATACAGTTCCACGGGCGGGTTCCAGTGCCCCTCTCTGTCGCCGCCGGGGGGCGTGTCCCGCTGCCATGCTGGTTGTTTTTGTTGGTGACGCAGTTGCCGATGTTAATTTAGCAGCATGAGCCGCAGTCGTTGATTTTGCTCTTCAAGACGCACCTCTTTTTCTTGCTGTTGCTGGTCTGATTTCTCTTTGCCTCATTGCCTCTTAGTCGCCGATCTTCCGGCGAGTCGGGCCTTCGCCGCGCGCCAGCCTCCGCCTGAAAAGTTTATCTCCCTTGCCTCGTTGCGAGCTTGCACGTACGCGGGTAGCGCCAGTTGAATGCGCCGTGCCTCATGGCGCAGCTTGGGCAGCTGGGGGATTCCGCGCGCGAACAGGTGCCCTTCTTGTGAGCCTCCGGGCAGGTGGTGCAGGCGTTCACCGTAGTACGTCCCGCACAGACATGACCCAGCCTCCCGCAATGGAAGCACTGCTTCGGCCGAGGTGTTGGGGCCGAAACCGGCAAGTGGATGCCATAGAGGCTCGCTCATTGCGGAGGGGTCCGTCAAAGTGGACGCGGATAGTGTGGCCCCCGTTGACGACTTGTGGCTCCTGAACACTCACGGGGGCCTGGATATTTTCCTGAACCTCCTACCTTGTGCTAGCGGACAAGCGTGGTTGGACGATACCCGTCGACTGCCCTTGGGCCGGGCGAGGTGGGTCTTCACCTAGATGTTTTGCACAACGGTCACAGCCAGCAGCTCCTTCAGCTGCTGGCTGTGACCGTGGTGCAATATTTAGCCGCTGCTGGCTGTGACCGACGGCCGCAATATTTAGCCGCGTGTTGACCCTGATCTCCGTCGCTTGACCCTTAGCGGTGAGAACCAGGGCTTTCGCCACCTTGGCTTTGTTTTTGTCGTTGATTTTTCTTCGGTTCCCTTCCCTTCTGAAATGTCTCAGCGTTCCTTTTCAGACAGTCAGCGGCTCACACACAACGCAAATTTACCAGAATCGGAACCGGTTCATTCGAAAAGTTGTAAGGTTGTTGCGGAACCGCACGCAGTCCTGCGGTTACGGGGATAATCATAAATATAAATTTGGCACTTTCAACCTTGGTAACGCGTTGTGTATTACGTTTATATTATATATATATATATATATATAATAAATTGTACAAGACTGCACTTTTAAAACGTATATTAATGTCGGATAAACGCGCGTGAACACCACCGACAAGAATATTTTTTTCGCGCCTATACGATATATTTTCTCACGTAGTTGCTCCATGGCCTTCCTTCTCCGACATCGGGACGTAATCACTCGGAGCGCTACTACCTTATTTCTTGAAGGTGTTGGATGGAGCCGCTGCCTCGCGGACACCAGCGCCATGGGGTGGCGGTCGCTGAAACTGACGCGCCGGGGCCAATGGGAGCGTCGTCGATGCGCGCCAGCCAACGGGACCGAAGCCGAAATCCATCAGCTTTACTCCACTTCTCTGGGGTCGGGGAAACTGGGTGCCGTTTGGTTAGACTTTTCGCGTGGTTTCACAGCTGGGAGCTGGCTTCACTTGGAGAAAGGATTTAAGGTGCCGTTTGGCGCGGTTTCAAAGCTGATGACGTCGGCTCACTCCATGGGATAGTTAATGCTTTCGCATCGAAAATGCCTGGCTACGCCACTGAGCACTACAGAGTGCTAGCCTCTGCAACAGTGTACCCCATAATGGCGGCCACGGCCCCTCCGGAGCGGGGCACGTGACCGCTCCCAGCAAGTGCGCATAGCTGGAATCGGCGCGGCTAGATGGCGGCATTGCTAAATAGGTTAATTGTGACATCACGACTAAATGTATTAGCTTAAACCAAGTTGCTCGATACCGGCGTTTCGCACTGCAAGCGTCCCAAGAACCCATCCTATCTCTTCAGCAAAATCGGCAAGCTTTTGTAGGAGAAATTTAAGAAAATATATGGCGTCTTGGCTTTGATGTGACATCAAACATGGCTTCTAATTTATTAGCGTCACGACTTAGTACTTTTTTTTATCCAAGTTGGGTTTGTTAAGCTAAAGCTGCGTTCCTGAATTAGAAAGTATTTTTTTTATATTGTGTGTAGTTTTATACACATCACGGCTCAAAGTTTGGTTTCGGGGGTCTATGGCGAAACCGAGACTATCAGCTAGAGGGATGGCAACACTGATGATCAGTCGTGCAGCCGTTACAAACATCCACCCATCCATCCATCCGGGCGCGACGTGACGTCACAAGGTTGCTACGACTCGCGGTGCAAATAATCGACAGCAGCTCCACCCAACGTTACTACATTATCTCAGTTGTGGAACTCTCGCGGGAAGGGGTATCCCCCTCACTAACTTCAGTCCGCCTCCCGTCGTTTGAAGCGCCATCTAGATTGTAGTTTCGACGAAGTACGTACAGTGGCCCAATTGTTTCATAATATCACGCGAGCGTCGACCGCCGGGCCGGGTAGCGCCGCGCCGCGGAGGCGTGGTGCGATACAGGAGCGATTAGACGTGTGCGCACAAAGTTATTTCCGATGCGAGCGTCGTCTGCTAGGCTATTCCGTTGACCGCACGCAGCCCCTGCTCCGTAGCAAAGGAGCGCAAGGCGCTCATTGACATCCATAGTTTATCCAACGCCCACTTCTCTTTCTCTCTCACTTTCTCTGCTTCTCTTATCTGTTGTAAGAGCAAATGACCAAAGAGCGAGCGCTGGCGTGATACTCGTCTTACGCGGCATAAAGAGTAGTGCAATGACGCGCGGTTTATGCTACGCATGAGCAGTATCACGCAAGAAAGCGCTGTTATGTGCCAGCATAAGAGGAGCAGGGCTTTTGTACGGGCAACGGAATAGCCTATACTCTGTTTCACCTTATGATGTACAGCAGGAAAGGCTAAAAGCACGAGCTCCTTGCTCTAGGGCACATCGCGGCGGCACAAGCTCTCGTGCGTTAAGAGTAGCTCCCAACGCTATGAACTCGCGCTTCTAGCCTTGTCTGCGGTACAACATAATGTGAAACGGAGTATAGCAGATGACGCTCGTACCGGAAAGAGCTTTGTGCGCACGCGCCTAATCTCTCCCGTATCACAGCACGCCTCGGCAGCACGACGGTGGCCGGCCCGGCGGTCGACGCTCACTTGATATTATTAAAAAAATTGGGCCACAGTACATCACGCGCACATGAGATCGGCTGCGAAACCACGCCGATAACGACTTCCACTTTAAAACGCGATGGTCCACCGAGAGCCATCGCGTGTGCGCTTATCGTTCACTTCACTCTTCTGTCTGTCTGACACAACGTTTGCAGGGTTTGACGTGGGCCTGGGCGACAGCCTGGAGGACATACGCGACATGTACAGGGAACTGAACATCTCCGGGCATCGATGGCTAGGAGACGGAGACACTAACTGCTATTCTTTCCTGCTCCCCACGACACGACTGGAGGCGGCAATCGCCGACAGGAAGGCCAATAACGCCACCAGCTTTGTGGACAAAGTGTACTTTTGGACTACTGATAGTAAGACGACGATAAGAAAAGTACTCAGGTGAGTCTATACGCTTTAAAGGCATGGTACACAGACTTGCGACTGCTTTTGAGCGTCTGCCTTAACACCTTTCACCATCTCTAAAGGCCCTGTCGCACTCAGGCAACTGTTGGACAACCCTATCCGGCAACACGAGGAAATCGTGTTGCCGGCGACTCTGTCATATCGCGGCAACAACAACAGTCGGGCAATATGTTGCTGCCGCCCAGCAACCGTGTCGGCCGATTTGTTGCCCGACCACCCTGTCACAGCGAGCTGACTGCGGGGACAACACGGGGAACACTCCGTTATCTTGATTGTTTACCATCGTTCGTATGCGGCGCGGCGTCGCGTGAAATGTGACTCTACAAAGTGGTAGTGCGCTCGAAGAGCCGGAAATCACCACGGGACGACATAAATCAGTGACTGCGATTAGAAAACTTGACATGGGAGAGTATTTTCCTCGCCATCTTTTATCAAAGTGTTCTTCATTCGCGGACAAAGCAGATAGCACTAACCGAGGCAAGTGAGATCGCTCATATGTGTTCGGGATTTATGCCACCGTATGAAGTGTTTCTCTCCGGTTCTTTGTTTCATGCAATTCATATTTCTACTGTAAATTTGAGTTAGCACCGGCAATACCCCAAAGCGCCTTTTGTAGCGTGGTGTTGAGCTGAACTGAAAGTGCTTTAAAACTGCGACAACGACACACACGATCGGGCTTGATAACAATCGGCGGAATAAATATTTTTCAGCGCTGTTTGTTCGCCTATCGCCTGCTAAGTGCTCGCTTTGTTCCCTCAAAATATCCTGGGTATTTTTGAAAGAAATCAGGTGTCTAATAGCGGCTGTTTCCAAGTTCCAAGCATCAACAATCATGATCAGAGTGGTCGTTTCAAATGTTTGATTTTTTTAATCTTTGTTTTTTTAGATTATTTTTATTATACTTTATCAGCGGGTGTGTAGGCATGCCATTTTATTTCACTAGCAATAATGTGGGCTGGTCTCTCGGTGCTTCTAATTGAACACCCGTCTAAACAATTTAGGACAGTAGCAGTGACCATTTCCACAATCGCTTTCAGTTATTACACAGTAAAAACATTCATAAAGTTATTTTAGCTGCACGTCAGCCTTACTTATTGTTAAATAATGTTTTCCATGCCTTTATTTGAGTAAGGCGTTATTGAAAGCAAACTAGGTCAGCCATCAAAGCTATCTGTGTTGTCGTGTTGCCGGCCCGAAATTTGCTCAGTTTGCGATCAAAGCAACACACGTTGTCCAACACAAATTGCTACTGTTTTTGTTCCCGAAAGCTGTCACACCGCGGCAACATTTTCGTCGCCGTCAATGTGGTGCTGCTGTTGCCGCAATGTGGCAGGCTTGTTGGACAACACGGCGAACGAGCAACTAGTTGCCTGACTGTTGGACAATGTTTTCTGCTCCTGTTGCCGTCCTGTTGCTTCAGTGTAACAGGGCCTTTACGGCGAGCGAACACACTAGCGTCATCTGGGGGTAGTCATGGAACACTGGTATAGTTTCCGTGTATTTTTTTATTTTTTTCGCGTATGATTTTTTTATTTTTAAACTTCAAAATCATTGGAAAATGTTATAAACTACCATTTCTGAAAGATAGTGCGCTCATTCTACCTCGAAAATTCCGTAAAACCTTTGCTCAATTGGAATGCTGTTCCAAGGTCACCTCATAGATGGCGCCCGCGTACCAGTGTTCTGTCGTCGTATGAGATCACAAGAACTCGGTCCTAATCAAACGCACGTTTGTCTACGGCACTTAGGCATTCGCAGTATTATATTAGCCGTTACTTTTACTCCAACCGTCCCGTGTACTTCTGAATTTTTTGTAATTTATGTGTTACAAAATTTTCATGTAGAATAGCTGAAATTTCTAAATTGTATCGTGCTTTCAGAACGTTTAAAATTAAGTTTTTTGTTTAATATATCACTTGCACTTTAATATAGGTTCAAGAAAAGCTGGTTATTGGAGGCCGGCGGGGAATTTTATCCACCCATATGTTTCTCGCTTGTTCCGTTAGATGTCGACACGTATCCCGCATGGTTGGCTTCCCCTCAAAATATATAGTAGAGGTTGCGTGTTGGATTTCACAATGTCTCAATAGCTCTATTTACAAAACCTTGAGGTACAATTATTCAAAATTTACACTTGATATAGTTAAATATTTGTTTGTGCATTTTTAGTGGCGCACAAGCCTATTTATTTGCCCGTTATTTGCCACATTCCTGTCACAAGTGCGGGCGTGTGAAGCGCGTTGTTTGGGCAATAGAAGTAATTGCTAAAGGTGCAAATTCCAGCCGAAAACCTGTTCGGTTAACGGCATTAATTTAGGGTGTACTCCTGACTGTAGCAGATACCGAGCTACGGGGTGTAATTCAAGGTAGTAGATACCCCGTAAAACTTCTCAGCTATAACTAACGCTTATTGAGTCTCACAGTGATGAGCAATAAATAATTTTCATCTTCCCCTAGACTGCGTTAAAATACGTTTTTCCTACAACTATTATTGATTTTAATAAAACTATCATTTAGTGCAACTCAGGCCGATTGGCTTGACAGTTTCCTGCATGGACCTCATCGTCAACCAACTTTCCCCTTATCCTACTGTGCCCGTATTTCGAGGGGGGGGGGGGGTTTAGTAGTATTAGTGAATAATCATAACTATGCACACATGTCTTAAGTTTCTTGAATGGTGGATCATTGCTCGGTGACTTTCCTCTAGTCAATAAAAGAGTTGAAATATGATACATTATAAAAATCTTTCTGAAAATAAAAAGGACGCAACTGGCGAAAGATATGCCAACCAGAGCAAGTGAAATTAAGTATATATGTCGTTCTTATTATGGCTATGTATTGTGCTTGTTCGTTTAACAGTGTTTTATAATACTAATACTAAAACTAGCTTCTTATTCTAGGTTTAAAACACTGGTGCACAATTGTTGTTTAACACCTCTGCTACCATAAAACCACATATATAAAAGAGTAATTCAGCGCTCGTTTTTTGTGCTACATATTATGTTGGTGTTCAATGCGTGCTGTATCAAAATATTGTAAGAATTACCCAACTCGCCTGTATCGCTTTAAACCACATAAAAACGAAGCCCACAAACATGTGCCTTACACCTCTTTATGTAAAAGTTGCGTGTATGCGTCCTGCATATCTGTTGTTGTTTTTTTCTTTTTTTGTTTTTTTTTTATCCTTCGTCTTGGATTGTTTAATCGGCGATTACAGAGCACTGCATACGCTTGCCAGGCAGGAACCTTCCAGTCCAGAGTGTTCTCACTTACCAGTAAACTGCAGACTGCAGAGAAAACAAAGCTCCGTCTCCCAAAATAAAAAAAAAAAACGAATTGTTAGCACCCAAAGAGAGTGTTAGCATGGTGATAAGTTCACCGAAAACAAAAGCATATAAGATATGGTTTCTTTTTAATTAGGCTTTAGTTAATCTCCACATCCACCAGTGTTGATGTCCCACCTCGCGGTAAAAAAAAAACATGGTCACACTATTTTAATCCACTTTTGTAAAAAATAAAACGTAAAAAAATATAAATGCTCTCGGGAATGTGGGAATCATCTCTTTCCCCTTCTCACGATATTTGTTTTAGTGGTTGCTTACTCTCTATTTTGTTCCTCGCAGGTTGGGGGTCGATGGTATCATCACCAATCATCCGGAATATCTGAGTGCAATTATCGAAGAAGAGGAATTCAAGAAGACCTTGAGGCTTGCTTCCACGCAGGACAATCCTTTTATGAGAATTCCGTAGTTAAAATCCGAGAGTGGAAACACCTTTTGTTCGGACAGCGAAATAAGATTTCGCAAGCACTGCAGACAAAAGAACAAAATTTTAATTTTCTTTCCCGAGCTTGTTGTTTGGTTTTTCTTCAAAGGTTTAAAATATAAAAATATTTTCATACATCTTAGAAATAGTCGTAGTGGGAAATTTATAAAAAGGTGGTTTTGTATGAAATCGAACACGGATGGGTGTTTTGATTTGCCCCCAAAGTTTTATGTTAAAGCCCCATTTCCTCACTAAACAAAGCGACATTTTACATCGTTTTAGAAAACTTATTTTTGTGAAGTATAAAGCAAGGCGGAATGCTACATATAGACTGCTTGATTTTTTCACCCTGTTCTGTCGGTTATTTTGATAAGTCAAAACGAAAACACCCGCAGTAATTTATCTTCAAATGTATGACGCATGGTATATTGTATATTACTTCGAACTAATATGCTTTGACGTATTTCATGCCAGAAATTTAAAAAAAAGCCAGAAATCGCACTTTTGACGTTTTGGTGAAATGTTTGTAGCCTTGTTTCTCAGAATTCATTACACATTTTGCTTATTACATACTATATACATTTAGGCCTATATACATGGGCTACCGAGTGGTACTATTTTAATCAAATTAGTTTTCACAAGATAATGTCTAAAAATTTTAAAATGTTGTCAAAAATTAATTTTTTTTTCTAATTTTAACTTTAGTAATTGAAAAGGAAAAGGCTATTTGCTCTTTCGTTCTTTTTTTTTTTTTTTTGTTCCCGTTGATGGTAACTTTCTGTGCTCCAATGAAAGTTTCCACTTTTTGTTTTGTGATATATTCTGTAGAAGTGGTGGAACACACATACATGCACCCGAATCGGCGAAAGGATAGTTTCGCAAGTTGGCTATACTGCAAGGTATTTAGCGTTAAAATGCTAAGCTAGTGTTTCGGTGGTGAAGGGGTGACGGAAAATGGCGGTGTAGAGGTGGGAGGAGTGAGTTGTGTGGACGTGGCCCCAATAAGAAAATATATTTGCCCCCCCCCCCCTCCGCCCACTCCACTATCCGCTCCTTTTTTTTTTTCTTGGGGGGGGGGGGGGATTTTAGTTATACCTCTTTTTCAGTTTAAGTTTAAATTCAGCTCACGCTACGAGCTAAGGGGAACATTTAAGCAGCGTCAAAAGCGGAGGCCACTAGGCCTTTTCTGTTTATGATTTGTTTAGCGATTAGAACACGCACGGAAACATATGATGAACACCGTGATGGTGTGTTTTTGAAGCTTTCTCATTGGTCCCATCCGCTCGTAGCATCGGCTGCGTCTGATGAAACGAAGTACACACCAGCACAGTGTTTCCAAACGAGTCCGCTTGGCCCAGATCAGGTGTGGGCAGTGCGCGTGCGCAGGAACCAAATTCGTAAGGAGTGAAGCGTCTGCGCATGCGCAGTACCGACTGCAGCGCCACCGCAGTGGTGTGGTGTCTGAAAGCTGAATTTTTCTATAGACGTTTTCTGTTTCCTGTAGTCACGTGGGTTCCGTAACTGGTATGCGGGACGAAAAAATAATAAAACATTTCAACCTGGAATATGCGAGAAAATAAACGTGAGGCAAAACAAGAGTGTGTGACAATCACGCGTTTTCGGTATACACCTTCTAGCAGCGTGGAGAGATCAAAACGATGTTTTATGGCAAAACTAGAAGTGACGATATTCAAAATGGCTGCGCCCTTGTGGAAAAGGTGCATAGGACACCTGAGTCGGGATGCATATTGTTTTCTTAGTTAGTATCAGGGTAATAAGAAATCATAAAATAAATCAGATACAAGTGATTTAAGTCAGATTTTTTTTTAATCAGATTACCGTAATTTGATTCAAATAACTACTCACGATAATAATTCTTTATTACTACATGTATTTTCAACTTGGTAGATTGTTTTATATCAATCCATCCTATCCCTGAAAAAATGCAGGAAACAAATTTTTGCAAATTTGAAGTACACCTTAATCAACTATTTTCAATTCGTGTAACCCCAGCCCCACTAAAAAAAAAAAAAAAACGGCTTGATTTTTTTTTTTTAGGTTGCTTTTTCCATCGCTTTGATTTGCTCGCAATAAGACGTTACTTTTTCTTCTTTGAGGTTCTAATTTGCTCTCAATAGGGCGCTAAGTAACTGCCGAACAAAGTGGAAGGTAGAAAGTAAGCTCAATGATCCGACTTGCTCAAAAGAACAATCCTTTTTTCTTGCGTTCAGCCCTATAGAAATCTTGCTTGGGGATTTTTTTTAAAGGCTTGAGCGTGTTGGTGATCTAAATTGACTTAAAACGAAATAAAGACACAAGAGGACGAAAGAAACGACACAGCTTGTGTCGTTTTTGTTGTCTTTTTGTGTGTTTCTTTCGTTTTAAGACTTTTTTTATTTTTTACTATTTTAGTACAAAATAAATTCACATAGAAAGCGTCAAACGGTAAAAGAAACGGTAAAGAAAACCATTATTTTTGGCAATCATTCTTGCGGGAGAGGCTCGATTTAAATCATCATAGTAAAAATGCTCTCATTTAAATCACGATTTGTATCATCTTGATTTCCATTCTTCAGCCTGGATACTATATATTTATATTTGATTTTATCTCATCTCGTCTGAATTTGTCTGCTGTTAATAACCATAAGACGAGATCTGCTACCGGCCGTCTTTGTGTGCAGCTATCCTTCCAGTCCTTCGCTCGAGCTTTTTACATTCGAAGTTGTTTGTGTGCAGTTTTATCATTCACGGATTTGATGAAGTCTCCTTACAATGGTCAATATTAGATATACCAAAAATAAGATATATCGAAATGAACTTTGTTGGTCTGTGAAAAAGCACCTCGACGTTGATCTGCTGAGATCATCCTTGACCCCTCACAGTGCTGCTGTGATGACGTATACTAACGTGCTTTGTCCAGAATTGCTTCACACTAGTGACTAGAAACTCTGCGCGCTGCGCCAATAAGTTGAACTCAAGATTGTGCCCAAGTGTAGTTTCTAAGAATGATATGCTCAGGGTCATTACGGACGGAATTCCCGGCAGCGGATGAAACATGACTTCACGTGTATTCCTGTCGGCGTATGACAGAAAATTAAAATTCAAAACTGAAAAGGCAGTAAGACAGACTAAAAGTCACATTCAGTTGAAATGTTTTTTTATAAAATTATCTACTGCTTGTTAAACAAAACCAAAAAAGCTGATACTTCCCTGCTTATTGCTACCGGTTCGCGTGTGATGAGTTGGGGCTCAATGTGCGTCAAGATTGTATCAAGTCGTTACTTAGTCGGGAGATCTGATGCCAGCTTCGGATACTCACTTCTGTCAGCGTTACAGTGATACTCGAAGTAGAGATGTTATTTGGTTTTCGTCCCCAGACCTCGATGGACACCTTGTAGTTTGTCTACCTTTGGGGACCTGGCGGTGATCGCAAAAGATGGGACCGGATGCTGGCTGGAGTTGAAAAAGACTTCATGCTTCTGCTTGCTGTGGCTGACGGTGGAGAGTTAACTGATTCGGAGGCGAAGTTGTAATGAATACAACAAGCAAAAAGCTTGGGAGAGGCACTTAAGACTGCTTACGTGTAGGAATGCGCAAGCATTATAGTCCTTTTGGTAACACTAGGCACGCCTTTAGTCAACCACCACAGTGGAGTCGCTGTGGCGTCGAGAAGCGTGCTCGCCTCGCACCCCGGAAGCCCGGCTTTGATTCTCGCCCAGACCGAAATGCACCAACTTTTATTTTCAAATCCATCAACATATTTTGTTTACGGGAGCCTCCCTGAGAAGTGTGCCGTCAATCCGAGCATTTTTTGACGTGTTTTTAATCTTACAAATATTTAAAAAAAAAATTATTTAGCTGCCGAGCACGGCTTACGTAGTTAAGTACTTACAAAAACGTCGTCAAGTGTTCTCTCGTACACTTGACGTACACGGGCCCGTTCACGATCGACTATTTTCCATCCAGTCGGGGGTTATGACAGCGCGCCGAAAACTGTCCCATCCAATCAGGGTCTAGTTAGAACGCCGCTGGGTACAGGCGCCGACGCACTCTCAACCAATCGGACGGGCAAAACTACCTTCGCCAGGAGGCCAAAAGGTCAGCTCCCAAGGACGGGTCCCACGGCGAGAACCCAAACATTGATACACGAGCTCTGGTTTGTTTATGGTCGGAGAAAATAAACTGACTCCGATGATTGAAGTGAGAATCGCCAAAGCGTGCTTCATGGAGAAAACCGTCCCTCGGAGTGTGAGCATTAGGTACGTTAAAACCAATAGATGAACGTAGAACTTGCCAGACACAACACACATGGGTCTCGCGAACACAAACGAATCGAAAGATCACACCAGATTCCAAGAATACAAGGACCACCCTGGGGGGTTCGCCCCGGTGCTGAGTCTACCATGGGCGTACCAACCGGAGGGGGGGGGGGGGGATTGCCCCCCCCCCCCCCAGTTTTTACAGTGAAGAGAAGAGGGCAAGGCATGTGTTTTGCCCTCCCCCCCCCCCTTAAACAACTGCCACTGGGCAGGGCAAACACTGGCCGGCGGCGCCCAAGGGATACAAATGGAACTGCCCCCCGGTTTGGAGGATAAGGCGCGATCTGGTTTGCCCCCCTACCCAACTCCAAAACAAGTTAATACGCCTCTGGCGTCTACGTCTGTGCGTAAACCTCTGTCACGCTCGGGACCCCAGCAGCCAGCCCCTACAAGCACTGGAGCTTGTTCCGCGGTCTCCGCCGGTGTGGCCTGCGCGCGGGACTAGCGTCCGCGGGACTTCGTCTAGGTTACGAAACCGGCCTGCCCGTTGACAAATGCACAGAGGAGTTATGCTGGCTGTGTAGGTTTATGCGCCTGGATGCAACGGGCCTTGGAATACGGGGAAGACTTGCGGGTGATAACATTCCGTGGGAGAGACACAACCTCGCCGTTGGTCGAAAAACTGTGGTTCAGCATGTGCTGGAACGTATAAACAAATTCTTTCAGAAAAACGCCGTCTCAAAGCGCGCAAAAATGCGACCCCCTCTACACTCGAGTACTTCCCGAAACATAAAAATACCTGCTGCCAAAATGGACACAACTGCA